TAAGTATAATGTGTGCATGTACCATCATAAAATTAAGATGTTATTTTACTACAACATAGTTATGTTTCGTCAAAAGTGGAGTTTGGGGGTCGGGCTGGTTTCTGTGGAATTAATCCCATATGTTCTGTTGTTCACTTACAGGGTTTCACTTAACACGGTACCCTCTGGGTTTTATTGACGCGTTAAATTAATTATAAATATATTATATATATATATATATATATATATATATATATATATATATATATATATATATATATATATATATATATATATATATATATATATATATATATATATATATATATATATATATATATATATATATATATATATATATATATATATATATATATATATATATTAAATTCGCTCAATATATTTCATTTAGATTCACAATGAAAACGTGGATAAGATAAATCTTGATAAAATCACAAAGGAAAAAAGGAAACAATGGAGCACCCATGAGCATGGGTAATTGTCTTTCTGCTCCTTTAGCCTGTGTTTATATGGGAGTTTTTTGAGGCTAGGGGACTTTATTCCTCCATGGTATAGATATGTAGATGATGTTCTGTCCTTGGCCTAGAAACAGTGACCCACGTTTTAGACAAGCTTCATGATCTTGTCCCTAGTATTCCATTTCTTGATATGCTTATCATTAGAAATGGTCATAACTATAAATTTAAGGTGTACAGAAAGCCTACACAGGTAGACAGTTTCATACATTTTTTATCAAGTCACCTGGAGTCTACAAAAATTTCATTTTTTTCTGGTATTTTTTTAGATGTTTGCGTATTTGTAACGCTGAATTTATTGATGAAGAACTGAAACACATTCGGTCCATTGCACAAAAACTTGAGTACCCTTCCTTGTTTGTTGATCATTGTTTTAAAAGGGCTAAACAATCCTTTCATTCTACTCAAACCAGGCAAATTCCTACATTTAAGAATATTAATGTTGTTTTTAAGTATGATTCAACTATTACCAATATATTAATCAAGAATAGCCCAACTTTGAATGTAAATGGAAGTGTTTATTGTACTCCATGTAGCAATTGTAATGGAAATTATGTAGGACAGACTGGGAAAGCATTGCAACTCAGAATTAAACAGCACAAGTACAATATTAGAACAGCATCTGAAAGCAGTGCACTGTTCGTTCATGTTAGGAACAATAATCATCCCATTGATTGGGAAACAGCTTAGAAGTATATAAATCATCATGTGTCACAGAAAGACTTCTGGTTGAAGCAAGTTTGATTAGAGAATTGAATTCTATAAACCTTAGTGATGGTCAGTACAAAACTGATAATATGTTACACAAATTTATTTGTCAGTGTCCCAAGGTTAAAAATGCTTTGAAAGCATTTGAGTTAGATGTAGGATAGATGATTAGTGGGTCCCATATTTTTTACCTGACTTAACATGACTAGTTACGTCGCCCTTTCTTTTAAGCTCCTCTTGTGTGTGGTGTTGGTGTGCGGATTAGTGGATGTCATGTTTATGACCTGACCTCGTGTTTAGTAAGGTCACCCTGTGTACTTAAGCCTCTCTCGGTCCTTGTAATTCAGTTGCCTCTGAAGATGTCTTGAATAAAGACGAAAGCTAAGGTGCTCCATTGTTTCCCTTTTCCTGTGTGATTTTATCAATTATATATATATATATATATATATATATATATATATATATATATATATATATATATATATATATATATATATATATATATATATATATATATATATATGTGTGTGTGTGTGTGTGTGTGTGTGTAGTTGTGAATGTATGTGTATTTGTATGTGTGTATGTATGTGCACACAGTATATGCCCAAGGAAAAGTTTGAAGACTCTAAAAAAATAAATAAAAATAAATAATTAATTTTTTTTTAAACAATTAATGGGGAGCTTCTGCAAATACTGTTTACAGTACAGTACATTTATTCAGACAGTTTTGACACAGCTGTCCTGTACGGTAACTTCGGTAAGCAGCCACTTAATCTATTTTAAACTTCAAAAAACCCTTACAGGTCATTAAGTTGAGCAGCCATTTTTATATAAATTTGTAGTTATTTCACACCAGTTTATGCCACACGATCTGTAGTTTTACAGATTCAGAGTTTCTGTGTAAGTGCCGATTCATTAAATGTCAAGTTTATTTACCAGGCCAGATTTCTTGACGGACATTGACTAGCACTAAACCCCCTTGTTTTTCACTGGAATAAATCTGATAATAAACTATGTCATAAACCTGATGCGTTTAGAGACATTCCGAAAATATTTTTCATATCTTATCATTAACATGTGACTGAATTACCCACATGAATGAAAAAAAAATTATTCACATTATTAACCCCTTCACCACTGGATATCAATTTTATTTGGCTAATGCTCGACAATTTTATTCAGCACATAGATCCCTTATAACCAGTGGTAGAGGCTCGCCTCAGCCACCCAACCACTATGGGTCCCGGCCACTATCTGTACAGGAGTGCTTCAATTTATTGTACGAAAATATGCAAAAAATAAAAAATAAATAATAATAAAAATTTGCTGAAACAGGCATCTGAGAGCATCCCGTGCTGAACACGGACAGTAAGCAGTCTACTGTAATGAAGGTTAGTGTGTGGCAACATTGATATGCTTATAAGTAATATCTATGTTAGCCGAAATCCCCATTAGCCGGAACTCCCAATACCCAATATCGATATTGGCTCGGATTTTTCTGGAAAAAATTTCAATTCCGGGTCCGTGAACAAGTTCCTGGGGTTGAAAATCAGGTGTCTTTTCTCGAGTAGGAGGGGAGGGAGGGGGAGGGGGTTCAATCCGGAAAAAAAATCCCCTCCAATTTTTTTCCGGTTCTAGGAGCAAATTCCAAGGTTGAAAATCAGATGGATTTTCTAGAATATTCAGAGAAAACTTATGGAAATTCAGAATTTATCCCTGGTCTAGGAGTCAATTCTGAGAATGAACCAATGCGTAATTCATAAAAATTCTTAGAAAATTCCAGAAACTACTGTACTTTGTTCCCAGTCTGGGAGCAAATTCCAAGGACGACCATACATAATTCTGGAAAATTCCAGAAACACACTCCAATTTTTTCTGAGTAAGCAGATGGTGGCTAGCTTGCAAGCCTTTTCCCACAGTAAATCATGTTGTACTTTCCAAATTTGAGTGTTTGTGTGAAAATGACCCCTAAAAGACTGCCTAGTGCCAGCTCTAGTGAAATGAAACTTAAAATGCAGAAATCAGTGATGACCCTGACAAAGAAAGATGAATTACTAGAAAAATTAAAGGAGGGGATGAGTGCTGCCACAGCTGGTCAGTTGTTTGGTATACATACTGTATACAGTA